GTTTTGTAATTTGGACTGTTCTGTTTTCAAGTCTGTGTTTTTTCTATCTTATGCTTTCTATTCCTTCTTTTATGGCTTTTATTTTAAACATACTTAATTTTATCCAATCCAATTCTCTCCAACACTTGTCTTAACTGAAATTCTAGGGATACCATCCTTCCTGTTCTTTACTGTTTGTTAATTTTTATTTGTGAGGGATTATTTTTCTGTGTGTTTTATAATTTCCAGTTGTAATCCCATTTTCATTTTGAGACTGCTTCCAGAGTAAAGTTTTGCTTGTTTCTGTCAGGTACACTAGAACTACTACCATCTTTATGCCAAATATTTTTTGTCAGTTTAATTTCTTGGTCAGATTTTACATAGAGCGCAAACACGCTTTTTAAGTATGTTTGATGAGATTTGACAAATGTATACATTTGTGTAACCACTACCACAGTGAAACTATAGAACACTTCCATCACCCAGAAAGTTCCCAAACCAACCCTACTTTTAAGATACTATGTCAGGTTGGGGATTTTTGGACCATGTAGGTAGTATGAAGTTTATATGTGAAATCCCTAACTCCATGATAGCTTTTCCAAAGAGATCTTTTTTTTTTTTTTTTAAACTCTAAATCCAGTTTAAGGCAATCTTCCTTGTTGTCTTCCTGTTTGCAGGTAGGAAAACTTTCAGTGTGGTGTGGCTTTTTGACTGTCTGGCATTTTGCAGGTTCCTTAGTTACACCTTCCTGCCTTGTATGGCCCCAAGTCCTCAAATTCTGTCCTTGATAGGCATTAAACACATGATTAACAAACCCCACAATACTGTTGCTCCAGTTTCAGCCGCTACTGTGGTTTATAGTGCCTCACTCCTCCCCTTCTTTGAATTATACATTTTGTTTAAGTGGAAGATACATAAAGTACATAGATCATAAATATATAGCTCAATATCTTTTCACAAGTGAACGTACCTATGTAACAACCTGGAAAAAGAAAAAGAACATTATTAGAAATCTTCCAGTACCCTTTCCAAACACTATCTCTTCCCAAAGAGCATCATTATTCTGATGTCTAACCTCATAGATTAATTTTGTCTATATTTGAACTTTATATAAATGCAATCATACAGTATATACTCTTTTGTGTCTGGCTTCCTTTGCTTACTAATATGTTTGCAAGGTTCACTCATGCTGTTTCATGTAGCTGTAGTTTGCTCATTCACGTTGCTGTATATTATCCATTGCATGAATATAACAGGATTTATATTGTAGGTGAACATTTGGGTTGTTTCTAGTTTTCCTCTTTGCCTTGGAGCCTGGGATTCCCTTTACTTTTTTTCAAGTTCTGCTGTGTATTTAGTACCAGTTTAAATAGCATTTCTTGGTCAGTAGTTCAGTATGTTTTGTGTCAAGAAAAATTTTAGGTTTTGTAGGTTGCTAAATCTCCAGACATGTAAGTTGTATGTTTTCATTTTTTATTTTTGAAATTCTTACTTGATTCTCATCTAATTTACTTTAGCTGATGACATATTTCTTTTGTCTGCCATTTGTAGAGATGGTTTTGATTCCTTTGAACCAATAATGAGTGAACACAAACAGGAGGCTAGAGATGAGATATGTAATTAATCTTGTAGTCATGTAGACCTTTTGCCAGGGTGGGATGCTGGATATGCAGGACTAGTTTGACATCAATATGCATAAGATATTGAAAAAACATGTTAAAGAAATGGGGTGGTTGAAGATAAGCAATAGTAGGAAGTGTGGATATATTTCAATAAACAAGACATATTTCAATATCAACTACTTTTCAAGAAAATGATAACACCATAGTAGCCCATTCTTCTATGATTCTATCCAAATTCCAGCACTCTGTGATGACCAGCTCATACTGGCTTATTCAGATTCTTTTCAAAACTGTAACAATGGGTCTTGCAACAACCCACCAAATCCATTCAGAGTTTGAATGAAATCACTAGTATGTGACATTAGTGTGACATTAGATATGTACAGCAATTTATTTATAGCCATAAAAAAATAAACAAAACTTCCCTCTGATTTATGGCATTATTTTAATTTTACTGTTGGAAGGTTCAAGGCCATAGAGTAAATCAGCTGCCCAAAGAGCATTAGACAAAGATTGTGATGTTGTGCCTTATAATTAGACTATAAGGTATTCTTTTCCTTTGTTGTTATATGTTGCAGCTTGAATTTAGGGCAAAGGTAAATTTCATTATTTCTCCCATGGAAGCAATTATCTAAATATGTCTCTTCTTCCTCCAGGCAGCACACACTGCTACCTTTTCTTCTGATTCATTTCCCCTAGAAAACTGAGAGTTTTATAATGATATTATTGGTTTTGTAACTAGTGTTTCTTTCTTTCTTTCTTTCTTTCTTTCTTTCTTTCTTTCTTTCTTTCTTTTTCTTTCTTTTTTTTTTTTTTTTTAGATTTTATTGATTTATTTGACCGAGAGAGACAGCTAGGGAGGGAACAAAGCAGGGGGAGTGGGAGAAGCAGGCTCCCAGCCGAGCAGGGAGCCTGATGCGGGGCTCGATCTCAGGATCCTGGGATCATGAGCCAAGTCGAAGGCAGACGCTTAAGACTGAGCCCCCCAGGCGCCCCTTGTAACTAGTGTTTCTATTGTAATGCTACTACTGAACCAATGTTGTGATAAATGGTCTGTTTATAAGGGGAATCACTTTTACAAGAAGTAGAAAATTAGACACGCTTCTGCTTTGCAATAACAATAAAAACCACAGTGAAAAAAAATTTTCCCCAGTTTATTCCCATCTGTATCAGCAGGGAAGCTTTAGAAGATGGCTTTCCCGCAAAGTCTTCTAAGCACAATTACTGCCTACAAATACCATGTCAAAATGCAGTTTTCCTCCAGATCCTATTCAAGACCAGCACATTTTTAGGCTTCCCATAACGTGGGCCCTTTAAGAAAGTCAGGCGCTTTAAACCCCATCCCCCTGCTGACTTGAAGGAGTCAGTCCGTCCTTCTCAGGTAGTTGGTGATAAAGCTAAGAGAGAGCCAACTTGCCCCTTGCTCTGCCTGGAAGGAATGTTTCTGTTGCAATAACCTCTAAAAGTGTAAGCTTTAAGATACTATGGGATAGGGAACAATAGAAACTTGTGAAGTATGGAAGCCAGACTCGCTCTAAGATTCTATCACGGCGCTGAATAAAGCGGAAAGAATGCTGTTAAATCTGAGTTTCTCCCTGTGGTGCTGCTCCCTGCTAGCTTTACTCTTCCATTTCACCTAGCAAGTGAGTTTTCCAGAAGCCGTTTCTACTTTAACGAGATGCTTGTCTCATGTACCAGATCCCCGAAAAGAAAAGTCCGGGAGAGAAATAAGTTTCAATGAAAATTACACTGTATCACTTCTAACAATTCACATTGGCTATATGTTTCTGAAGAGCAAAGCCAATTCTTTTTTTGTTTGTTTGTTTGTTTCCTGCCACACCAACAGTGATTAAGTTCATAAGTCCTTTAGTGCTAAAAAATAACTAGGAGAAATTTTGGGGTTAATTGCTGTTGGCATTTCTCAGCTGTCTGCTGGAAGCAGCCATCTTGGTAAAAGATGATGTCATTTGGAACACTTGGAGTTTTAGTTTATTCCGAGATACCAGTTTCCACTGGCCACTGAATGACACTTTAATGACAGTTTATCATTAGATCAAATTTAGGTTTAAAGATAACAGAAGAGTGGGAATATAAATCATTAAATCCACCTCTTTATCCTTCCTGACACATTATAAACGTTTCCAAAATTTCACAGCAATAGAAAACTTTCACACTTTTTTCTCCCCGCACCCTCCCTCCCCCATTTTCTGTTTCCAAGTGTTTGTTCTTTCCTTGACTAAGCTCAGATAATAACTAGTCGGGTCAGTTTCACTTTCCAATTTTTATACATAAGTGAAAGCTGTTTTGTTTCAACAGTTTAAAGGTGTTTAGAATCATCTCACCTGCTGGGCGGATTTCCTGCAAGCTTTTCTTTGGGAGGGAAGAGGAGGAATCAAAGTTTCGATTTCGAATTTCTTATACTTCAAAACTAGAACCCTGAATTAGATCACATTAGACTAATTAATGTTTTATTTTTAACCTATTAAAAGTTTTCTAGGAGTGGGCAAGATGATCGTAAATAAGGGTGATGGTTACGCCGTATTCCCACTTAATCATCATTATTTGTATAGCATAATGCGATGTCTGCAGTTACTTTGGAAACCTGGCACTTAAAGAGATGGGTTTTAATCCATTGAAAGTGTTTCTTTTTTTCTTCTTGGATTAGGTAAATGTTAGTGTCTCAATCCCATTGCGTGACACATCCTGGCACTGTTCTCAAGATGCAAAGAGAAAAAGAAAAAGTTGCACCTTGCTTAAACAATTGAGCGCAGTATGGTTTATGAGATTATTAGGAGGAGGAGTAAAGAGAGCAGAGTGTCGCTTCCGCAAATTCTTTCTTAACGAGGTTAACCTGTGGCTGCTGTTGTTTCACCCCACTCGGCTCCTGGAGGGGGAACTTTCTGTTCTCTTTGCGCTATCCTAGGCTTCCCGGTTAAGCTCACCGAGAAGATAAAACCGAAAGGGCTGCGTCTATGTTTGAAACAGACAGAGGGAGACAGGAGCACACGCAGTCCGCGGAAGATGGGGCCACGGCTCGGCCAGGGCTGGATGCGGGAGCCGGCGTGACCTTTCCACGTGTCCCCAGCACCTGCAAGGCTAGCGGGGCCCTGGGTTTCCTTTTCCCGGGAGCCGGCACGAGCCCGGAAGAGGCTGGGCGGCCGGGGGCTTAGGTCGGGGGGCCAGGAGGCCCTCCCTCGGAACACGTGCGGTCGGTGCGCAGCTGGTGCGGAGGCTGGCCTGGCCTTCCTGCACCGGCGTGTCTCTGGACCGCGGGCCGGCACCGGGAGGCGGGCCGCGGCGGCGGCTGCGGCGGCGGCGGGCGGGTCCCGGAGCTCTCGGCCAGCTTTGTAGGGCGGCCTAGCGAGCGCGCCAGGCCCGGCTGGAGCGAGCCCCAGTGCAGTACTGCCCGAGCCCGGGCGGGGTCTCTGTTCTCTGGCAGAGGAGGTCCCTTGGCAGCGGGAAGCTCCCTCTCTTTCTCTCGCCGCCGCTCGGAGTCTGCGCCCTGCTGCCAGGCGCCCAGCTCCGCGCTCCTCTGTGCTCGCCCGGCGCCCACTCATTCGCAGCCCAGCCTTCGCCGCCGCTGCCGCCTCCCTGCTCCTCCTCCTCCTCCTCCTTTCCCCAGCCCGCCGCGGCGATGGCGGACAGCGCCAGCGAGAGCGACACGGACGGGGCGGGGGGCAACAGCAGCAGCTCGGCCGCCATGCAGTCGTCCTGCTCATCGACCTCGGGCGGCGGCGGCGGCGGCAGCGGCGGGGGAGGTGGCGGCGGTGGGAAGTCGGGGGGCATTGTCATCTCGCCGTTCCGCCTGGAGGAGCTTACCAACCGCCTGGCCTCGCTGCAGCAGGAGAACAAGGTGCTGAAGATCGAGCTAGAGACCTACAAACTCAAGTGCAAGGCGCTGCAGGAGGAGAACCGCGACCTGCGCAAAGCCAGCGTGACCATCGTGAGTGCCCCCCGGGGGCGCGCCGTGGCGCCGACCTCTGCCCGCCTCCGGGAGAGGCTGCACCTGGACCGGGCAGCCCCCGAACTCCCCGAGGCTCCCGGGAACCCGCGGCAAGCACACTCTCTGCCAAGAACTGCTGGCCCCCGGGGGGTCGGGGAGAGGGAGGTGTTCCTCCGGGGACACGCGAGTCTGGCCTCCCCTGAGGGTCAGGCTCCTCGCGGGGTGTGGGAGAAAGCTGCTGGACCACAACGCACGTTCCCTTTTAGCCTCTGGGGAGGAGGCCTCTCCTGGGCAGTGCTGGAGGCTGGTGGCGTGGCTTGGGGGGGGGGGCGGGTGGGACTTTTTTCAGTCCTAGCATGCCTAAGGGGTGCGTCCAGAATCTGGGGATCCCTAGGCTGTGGGAGAGGGAGGAGCTCGGAGTCAGTTCCAGGGGCCTGGCTTGGGGTACTGGGGGGTTGCATAGCTGGGCTGGGCACTTCGCTGGCATCTGGACGGCGCTAGCTTGATCGCCCGGGGAGGGGGCGGGAGAGAGTGGCTGGGAATCCGGGAAGTGGAGTTTTCTGGCCAGGATTGAGAGGGAAGGGCGGGTACCGGAGCTTATGCTCCCACCTCCGTTGGAAGTCCTTTCCTTGGGGTTGGGGTGCGGGGTGGCAGCGGCAATATACAGCCGGGCAAATGCAGCATCTCATACTAGCCTGGACAGAGTGAAGGGTATGAAGCTTGGACAGGCTCAAACCGTGGTGAAGGGTATCGACTGACTCCTTTTCCCTTGCCGAACGAGATGTACGTGTGTTTGCTTCATTGGTGGTGGAGTGCCTAGGGGTATTTTGCCTCTGAGTCTAGAGTCTTGATGAGAGAATAGGCTGTCTGTTCTGTTTCACCTAGCCCCCCAGGCTCCCCCGAAGACAGTTAAGATTAGGTGTTGTAGTCTTCTTCCTAGTGTAGCAGGCGATTAGAAAGGCCACTCTAGCCGTGATGAGGCGAAACATAACTGGCAAAAGTACACCGTGTGCTCTCACCTAATATCCCTGCCAGCTAGCCACATCATTAACATGCAGAATCCCCATACAGACAACTCTATTCAGATCAAAACAGTTTCCCAGCCAGGAGCAGAGAAGAAAATGTCAAGAAATCAAGGGGATAAATTACCATAGTTGCTGCACAATAGCTGATTAGACTGAACCTTCAGTTGGAGAAAAAGGCATGAATTGGGAATAGATCAAAGATGACAGTCTGGAAATGAAATGGGGGCAAGTTTAGGATGCCCCTGTGCCAGAAAAAGTCTTAAGCAGAGGAGTGAGTGTGTATGTGTGAGTGGGTGTGTATGCTCCCCAGTGCTAGCTCATACATGGGACCTGGATGGCATTCTGAATTTGCTTAGGAAGCAGATTTCCACCAAAGTTTCAGTGTAATTGGCAGCCTAAATAGAAATTGATTGTAGAAAGACACTTTGCATGCTCAAATCCAGTCCTGGTGAATGGAATTGGAGCAACATTCACGCCTTTCCAGACTGTCAAGTTCTTGAAGTGCCCTTTCGGTAGGAAGGGGGAGGAATTTGCAGAGGCAGGCACTTCCAAGCCTCCTCTGTAGCTTTCTTGGCCCAGAGAGATGTCTCTGCTGAGTGGGGGTTTGAGAAGAGGGGGAAGTTGGTGGAAGCAGTTTATTTAAGGTTTGAGTTAGTAAATGAGAGCTTTCGTCTCTTAGAGAATGTGAACCACGGAACGTAGTAAAACTTTATGAAACAGAATCCCTATCCTCTTGCATACAGTGAGCAATTCAGGCTGTTTTTGTTTGTTCCGGAGAGGATTAGGGGGTGGAGGTACTATGAAAGGGTATCTGTTTGATACTTGACCATATTATAAGTAGGTCTGTAAATTGTACACAAACACGTTGGCTTTGCACGGACAAACATGTTCATTCCTGGTGTATAAGATCAGAGGCCTTCTGAACACTTGGTTTGAAGAGCGTGTAAGGTGGTGGCTTTATTTCTTAGCACTTACCCTCAGCTAAAACTGACATCCAACCAAATATACGTTGTGAAGTGTTCTGTGACCTTACTCAGTAGAGTTTTAAAATTGTTTTAGATGACAGCCTAGAAGTACCAAAAGCCGCTCAGTTCTTCTTTAATCTCTGATTCATATATTTAGGTAGACGAATAAAAATGCCTGTGGTTTACCTGGTTCCCTAGCACTTGGCAGGTGTTACTAAAGCAAACGCAAAGAAGAGATTCCTTTAAGCTTTTGAGAGTTTCGTTAACTGATCTGGGACCCAGATTGTGTTGAAGTGGTTTTGACCTCTCCGGTGTGTAATTTGTGAGGAGAAATGTATGTGACTACATGAAATGGGTTTGTGGGTGTAAGGGGTCCATTGAACAACATCGTATTGTAATTTATGTCAAGGTTAAGCTGCACAACCCATGACAACTCTAACTTAAACATAGCCCTTGTTAGTAGCTGCCTAGAAAGTTTGTGATAAGGCTTGTATTCAATTAAATGAAGGCCTTGCTAGATTTTTCACTATTTTAGTTAATTTGAAGGGAAAATGGCACCATAATCCTATTACTTGCCTTCCTGCTTTTTATTATTTCCTCTACATATAATGTTAACTTTCATGTTCTTGAGCATTAAAGATGATTATTGATGTCTTTCCCCTGAACATGTTCAGAAAGATACATTGCTCATTAGCCACACCACGGAGGAGAGGTACCCTCTCAATCTCTCTCTCTTTTTAAACAGTTTATTTTTCAGAGCAGTTTTATGTTTGCAGCAAAATTGAAGGAAAGGTGCAGAGATTTCTCATATATTCCCTGTCCTTCTCCCCCCCCATTATCAACATTATCCTCCGGAGTGGTACATTTGTTAGAACTGATGAGCCAACTTTGACACATCGTAATCACCCAAGTCCATAGTTTACATTAGGGTTCACTCTTGCTGTTTGTACATTCTGTGGATTTACCATTATAGCATCATACAGAGTAGACCAAGTGCCTTAAAAATCCTCTATGCTCTGCCTTTTTATTGCTCCCTAACCTGGCAACCACTTAGCTTTTTTACTGTCTTCATAGTTATCCATTAACCTACCGAGGGACTGGTTACTTCCAACTTTTGGCATTTTTGAATAGAGCTGCAACAAACATCTGTGTGCAGGGTTTTGTGTGGACAAAAGATTTCTGCTCCTTTGGGTAAACACCAAGGAGAGCAATTACTGGATTATATGGAAAGAGTATTTTTAATTTTGTTAAGAAACTTCCGGATTGTCTTTCCAAAGTGGCTGTACCGTTTTGCATTCCTGCCAGCAATGAATGAGAGTTCCTGTTGCTCCACATCTTTGTCAGCATTTGGTGTTGTCAGTCTTTTGGATTTTGGCCATTCTGATAGGTGTGTAGTGATACCTCAGTGTTGTGCCCTCTTTTTTTTTAAGATTATTTATTTTAGAGGGAGTGTGTAAGTGGGGGGAGGGGTGGAGAGAGAGAGAATATCCTTAAGCAGACTCCCCGCTGAGTGTGGAGCCCGATGCAGGGCTTGATCCCAGAACCCTGAGACTGTGATCTGAGCGAGATCAAGATTTGGCCACTTAACTGACTGAGCCACCCAGGTGCTCCCCCCCCACCTCCATGTCCTCTCTTAAAATCCAGTACAAAGGCTAATATTCTGTCTGTTCTGGTATATAACTGCTTATTTGGATCAAACTATCCATTTAATAAAGGACTGGTTTCATGGGTCTGTTCTCAGCATATGTATGATAGAGGTAAGCATTATCTACAGGGAAGAATCCTCTGTATGAGGCCTTTCATCCATGTCTAAGTGCCTGGAGCATCTGGGAGTTACAAGCTTGGCCCTAGTGTGTTTTACTTGGGGCTTAGGGGTGGAATGGAATGTTTTGAATGATTATCCAGTTTCTCCCAGTAAATCAGCAACCAGGATGCTGATTATAGATCATAATTTCTTCTTTGGAGTGGAGAAAATAAACAAAAAACAAATGCTCAGTAACTCTGTTGAGCAGCTTTTAGATGTAAGGCTAGATCTATCAGTTTGTGTTGTGGGTGAAAATGTAATTGGAGATGATCTGATTCATTGTAGTGAGTGGTGTCTAGGGGTGGTGGTCCCTGAGCAGATGAGGAAATGCATTACTGGGCAGTCACTGGATGGCTTCACAGCTGTAGACTGGTTAGTTGCTGGGCTTCTCAGAGTATAAGCAGAGCTTCACACCTGGCATGGCTAGTTCTCTAAGGTGTGTGCTTTTCCTAGACCAGTTCAGACCTTCAGCATGTGTCTGGTTTGAAAATAAAGGCCTGAAATAAGTCACTAGTATTTAAGGATCTTTCTCTAACTATAAAATTAGTACTTTATTATAGACAGGGAAATACATAAATAAAAAGGCATTTTGAGGTTATAGTAGAAAAACAGGTTGGTATGTCATGATTAGAAAACCTGGCGATTTTAAACATCAACAGTGTAATGGTCTCATTAACCAATAAAAGCCACCGTATAGTAAATGTTGTGGATTTGGGATTATTTACTCTGGAAGCCTAATACACTATTTTCCATTTTTAAGACTTCATTTTGGCAGACCCTGAAGCTGTCGGATTGACATTGCCCTTGTAAAGAGGTGTGGTATGTGTCATTTTTTTTTTTTTCCTGTTAAATTTTTCCCCCTTAGATTCTTAATGGAAACACCCAACTTGAGACACAACTTGAGACACAACTTAGAGAAATGTATGACCTCACGGTTAGGTCTAATTGTACACAAGTTCAGCCTTCTTAAAAAGGCTATAATGTTAGATTTCTTCTGCAGTTAAAGTTCTCCATGTTCATAGGTCCCCTCTGTGTGTTTCATATAATGTATTTGTATTTGATTAAAGAAACATCATTAGAGGAGGTTATGTCAGTCTTTTGTGGTGTTCTCCTTATTTGTTTTGCTGGGGATGAGGAATAGTTCAGAGGATCACCAGTTCCTGGTTTGTGGTGACTCTTGTTCAAGACCAGAGACTGGCCTACAGC